GAAGCAATGGCGCTTGATTGCCAAGGGCGAATTGGGCTACATCCCGGCAAAACACATCGTGAGCGCGCTCCCGGAAGAAGGGGAACGCCCCTCATCCACCCACAAGAAGATCACGGTGGACGGCTGGGACAGGGAGGATGAAGAAGAGGTGAGGAGCCACCCTACATCTCGGCGCCAGCTGGAACGATTGCACCTAACCTTCAGGACGACGCTCCTGATGTGCACGGCAGCACTGCCGCAGTTTGGCTGAGGGTCACCAAGGAGGAGTTGGATGACTGGTATGCCTGGTTCTATGGGGAGGACATAGCCGGCAGGAAACCTCCCCCGAGCGACACCACCTTGCTGTTTGCAGAGCGCAATGCATGGCGCAAGATTCACGAGATGGTGCACCAGGGCACCACTCTCTCCGAAGCCCTCAAGAACATCAGGGGCGACTTCCTCTTCTGGCAACGGGAGGTCTATGAGCACCTCAACAGGGCGCCGACGAAGGGGAAGAGCAAGAGCAAGGCACCCAAGGTGTGGCAGACTCAGTGGGAGAAGCCCAAGAAGGGGGGAAAAGGATCTTGGCCCTCGGGGCCTACCCATTCCAAGCCGAAGGGCAAGGGCGGCAAAGGAAAGTCCCCCAACACCTCCTCGACCCCATGGCCAGACCACTGGGCTTTCAAGAATCCCAAAGGGGTGGCGTACTGCAGGGATCATCACCTTCACAACAAATGCCCTGGATCATGCGGCCGATCCCACAACTGCCCGGTCAGGAAGGATGGGTGGGTGTGTGATGCCCCCCCATCGAAGCATGTGCCACAGGCATGCCCACACCTCCCCAAGTGACAGGAGGCCACTCAGGGTGCCATAGGCCCCGTGGCTGCCTGGTCTCCGAAGGGATCACAGGCCACCAGTGCGAGAGTGCACATAGCGGGGGAGAGCCAATCCCACCAGAGCCACAGCGGAAGGCAGACAGAGTTGGGGAGGCCAGGGCGGCCGCAGGTGGGAGGGGATTTCTCCAGGGTGCCACCGGCCCCGGAAGCCCCTCCCACCGAAGAAAAGGAGTGGACCCAGCCAGGGCACTCCAGAAGGGCGGAAGCACCCGTTTCCCCCGCACCCACCAAGGCAGTGGGAAGAACCCCCAGAGAGACCCAGAGGTGAGGATCCGCCCGGCAAGGGGCGTTCCAAGGGCGGGCAGAACCGTCGCAAGCCCAGGGCCAGACGACCAGAGGGTCGGACAAAGACACGGAAACCCCCAGAAGGGACAAGCCCCACCTTCCCCTCCTGGATGCAAGACACCCCGGAAAGACTGAGGCTCAGACTAAGGTGGACGCCACGTGCCGGAGTCGTCGAAGCCGACCCTCATCCTGCTGTACGCTGGGAAGGATGACGCGGGGGCCCTGGATGCCTACCTCCATGCCTGCAACCCGGCCTTCTCGGAGTACATTTGGGCAGTGGACATTAGGCGAAAGGGTGGCGATCTTGGACAGGACATGCTGGGAGACGAGCCATACTCTACAATGTGCTCCATGGCCATGGCGGGCAAGGTCGCCTTTGTGGGGGGCGGCCCCAACTGCAGAACGTGGAGCATTCTCAGATGGTTCCCCAAACCGGGAGGCCCACCGCCAGACCCTGTCAGTGGGGCTTGGAGGACCTGGAGCCCCGGGTAATGGAGGACACGGACAACGACAGCGTGCTCATGCTCCGACAGATGTACCTGACCTCGCTGGCCTACCAAGGACTAGGTCAACTAACGGTCTTGCAGGTGGGCTCCTCCTTCCTGGAGCACCCAATGGACCCAATGGAGTGCAGCAAGAAGCCGAGCGCGGCGAGGTGCTCATCGATCTGGGTCACACGGGCCTACATTCAATGGGCGAACGCACTCCACCACTCCCTCATCAAGTTTGACGAGTGCCGCCTGGGCCAGGTGGTAGTGAAGTCCACGACATTGTCAACGGACCTTCCCCTTCACCATTGGCATGATCTGCGATGCATGGGGGAAAAGCTCAACTCCAGTGACCTCAGCCGGTACCCAGAGCAGATGATGCAGGGTCTCGCGGCGGCCATCCTCTGCAGAGCGGGGCCCGTCCTGGAGGCGCTGAGGCCGGGGGGCACGGGGCCCCAAGTGAACCCAACGACCCCCCCAACGAGGCGGCAGAGGGAACCATCTCCCAGCACGCCGGGGGACAACAAGCGCCAGTCCCTGAGGCTGAAGGCCGGCCAACAAGCGTTGGCGGAACTAACCCTGGGCTCACTTCCGGTCTCGGCCTCAGACAATCCTGAGGTCCGGACACCACAGCCGGCTGGCAGGACGGTCGAACTTCGGGGTGAAACTCTTCCCCTTCAGCCATGGGCGCGCCATTGCATGGAGATCTCGGATCGGCCCACCACCCTGCCGATCACGCACGACCCAAATCTCTCCGACAAGGTTATGTACCTCCAGATGGCCTTCAAACAGCGCCATTCAGGGACGGGGGTGGGAAGCCCTCACTTGGACGGCTGGCCCCGTGGACTAGGCCACTGTCCAAAGCAGCAGCGATGGGGGCCAAGATCTGTGTCCTCACGTCGCCATGGGGGGACAAACTCCAGGAGTCGCTCTCGTTGGGGGACGGGTCACACCCCTTCCCGGAGGATCTGCTGGAAGATATCAGGGAGATCCTGGCGCCAGGGCAGGCCGACCAGCGGAAGGCCAACCCTTCTTCCTGGACATCTTGCACAGCCTGGCGCTGAACACTCAGGACCCCGACCACCAGTTTCCTCGGGATCTGGAACAAGGGGTCCCACTGGGGGTCACGGACCCACCCCTAGCCTCGCCGGGCATCTGGCCACTCAAGAAGGAGCTAAAAGGGGAGGAGCCGGAGTTCCAGGAACTCCCTCATCCCACGGGCCGGGGTAACTACCCCTCAGCGGATCACTTCAGTGAGCTCATCCGTAGCACATTCCTGGAGGAGGTCCCCATGGGCATGGTAGATGGCCCCCTCACCAAGGTAGAATATGGAGGATCTTTGTCCAGGCCCCCTAGCGGGCATCGACGAAGGGGACAAGATCCGCACCATGTATGATGGCTCGGTGGGCGGGGCCAATGACACCATCAACAACCAGACGGTGGAAAGGACGACGGCTCCGACGGTGCTGGATGGGGTACAAGCTCTTCATTGGCTACATGCGGCAGCTGAGGAGGGACCTCCCTCTCAGGGTGCCCCCGGCCCCAAGAAGGAGGTCGCCAAATCTCCACCCGAGGGCTGGCTATGGCCGGAGCCGGGCACCAGGTGGGTGCTGCTCAACACGGACGTAAGGCCCACCGGAGAGTGAAGGTCCTCAGAAAGGACTGGCGGTTCCAGGTGGCTTCACTGGGGGAAGAATGGTGGGTGAACAAGGTAGGCACATACGGCATGGCCAGTGCCCAATCCTACTGGGGACGCCTGGCAGCCCTTCTACTCAGGGTCCTCTACGCACTTTTCCCTCAAGTGGATTGGAACTTCGTCTTTGTGGATGACTTCCTGTGGCTGCTTCGCAGCGAGGGGGCAGTAAACTTGGCGGTGGCGCTGTTGGCAACACTCCTGGCCTTGGGCACCCCGCTTAGCTGGAAGAAGACACATTTGGCGGAGGTCAACACGTGGCTGGGCTTCGTGGTCCACCCGAACATCCCGCAGGTTTCTCATGGCCGCCAACAAACACATCCTGGTGATGGAGGTCTTGCAGACCATGGTGGAAGGGCAGGCGATGCACTCAAAGGACATCGAGAAGGCCCTGGGCCGCATCCAATGGGCAACTGCTGCATGTCCGCTGGCGAAGTCGATGCTTCAGCCACTGTGGGCCTGGAAGATGGCCACCACCACGGTGGGGAAACCCCCCAAGGTGGTCAGGATGCTGGCGTTCATGCTGCGGTTCCTCTTCAACACGCCCTTCGTCCAGTACTCCCCTTACTTGCCGAAGTCCTCTTGGTGGGGTTGCAGCGATGCTAGCGCCTCGGACGAAGGACTGGCATTTGTGGGAGGATGGTGCTCCAACAAAATGGAGCCGGAAAAGAAGGAGGTGTACTGGTTCCACGAGCAGATCCACGTGGAGGAGTACCCGTGGGCATTCAAGAATGGGGATCCCAAGCGGAGGATTGCGGCTTTGGAAATGCTGGGCACGCTCTTCCTCTGTAACATGATCCTCACGCACCAAGGCCCTCTGTCCTCCCGGGTCCGACTCCCGGTGGGCAGTGACAATCAGGGCAACGTCATGGCGATGCTCAACCTTGGATCCAAGAAGCCCTACACCGCGGCTATCCTGATGGAGCTGGTCTTCCTGCTCCACACCCATGGCTGCTCGCTGGCGGCCAACCACGTGCCCCGGGAATTCAACCAGTGGGCCGATGAGCTGACGCACCCAGATTTCTCTGGGTTCGACCCTTTGCACAGGGTCCCTAAACAGGAACTCTGCGAGGAGTTCGTTTTTCTCCCGCGTCTCCTGAATGGAGATGCATTTGATCTCAGCGTGGGCCCACCCATGCTCCCGTGACCGGAGCCGGTGGGTGACTCACTTCCCCTGGTGGCAGACCCCCCTGTGGCCTGGGTGCCCCGGGCCCCGGCTCAGGGGCGGGCGCTATCAGTCTGCACACCCGTTCTTCAGTTTTTGAGAGTTTGTGGTGGGTGGCCCATGGGGCCCACCCAGCCGTAGACATCTGACAGGGGAAGATGAGTCCCTGGCACCAACACATTGCTTGGATAAAAGAGTTATCGCTTGCTTGTGTGGTGCCGTTTGGTTAGCTTACATACACTTCTGTTTTTCTGGTGTATATATATACACGTGTATCTATATATATATATATAATAATTATAATTATCATTATTTTGACTATGATTATGTGTTTGAGAGGCGCTACTCGGCTACTCGTTTTCCACTTGGTTGGCGGGAAGCTTCTTGTTTCCAGCGATTTCACCTTGTACAGTCAGTTATTGCGGACAGGCTTGTTGTTGGCCAGATGGGTTTTGTTCGACCCAAACCGAAAAAGCCGGATGCCGTGCTGCGAGGCCTGGCGCGGCAGCAGCTGCTGGGCTCCGTGCGCTGCGTCACGGTGGAGCTCCGCGGATCGCTGGCGCTGACCGGCATCGGCCACGGGACCCACAAGGCGCGGCGGCGGTTCTTTCTTTTGGGGGGGGGGGGGGTTGGATGGGGGGGATGGGGGGGATGGGGGGGGGAATGGGGGGAGGGGGGGGCGGGGCGGGATTGGGGGGGGGGGGGAGGGGATGGGGGGGCGGGCGGGGGGGAATGGGGGGGATGGCGGGGCGGGGCGGGGATGGGGGGATCAGGGGGCGGGATGGGGGCCCGTCTTCTTCGGAGTCGGTCATTACCATTTTTTGGGTGGTTTTGTATGGGACACCAAGAGGAAGACCAGTAGTTTGCGGCCAGTCACCCTTCTTTTGGGTAGCTCGTCTTTGGATTCGGTGTCCTTCTCTTTTTTTTGGAAAGCAAGAGGAACACCGCAGCCAGCTTGGGGGATGCCCCTATTTAAAGACACGCCCATCGAAGTTTAGGGACACGGCTTTTTGGGTTTTTATGCACCAACGTGTCTGCATTTTCCTTGGTCTTCGGCGCAAAAAGGTCAAGGAGGGTTCGAGGGGGGGTGAGGTAGTCGAACGGTTCGAGTAAATCTGCGCACACTTGTATCAGAGCTGAGCGAGGTAAGGTTGCTACGAGTCTAGTCAGGGCCATGATCTGCCATTTGTCGATGAGCGGCAAGTGGTGCTACTTGTTGGGCTGTTCCCACCAGGACCAACAGGGGCAAGAAATTCAATCAGAGCCCACAAACCCAGAAGCACAAACCAAACCACAGGGTTCTCATCCAACACAAACAGGACGTGACGCGTTTTTGGTTCCGTGTTAGTTTGCAGAGGAGCAGGCTGGCATCCTTTGTGAGGACGTGGAGAGGGCTCAAGAAGGGATTGCATGCCTTTCATTTCAGAGCGTCCTATTCGTGTCTTTCCTATAGGGAACTTCCCTGGATAGTTTGAAGGAAAAGCAAAGTAAGCCGATGAAGGTCAGGTTCCCTCCCGCAGTTGTTTTTTGAGACATAGGTTTGTCGTTTTGAGAGCCGGGTGGTTTTGTTTGGCAATCCCTTACCAATCACCACAAAGGGTCCCACCTCAAAGGGTCCCACCTCAAAAGATGCCACGCGCAGTCGGGCGGTTTTTTTGGGCTTCCTTTGTGTGTCTGGTGCCAAATCATTTCGTGCAGAATCTTGCCAAACTTGGCCCGAAGGATTGGGCAAACGGACCGACCTCATATTTCCTTGGATTTCCCGCGTATTTCCTTTGGACTGTTTTCTTGGCGTGGAACCATCTCAGCGCCTTAAGCGGAATTTGCGGGCCACACATACTTATTCCCCGCTTAGATATCCTCAAGTCACCGGAGAAGCGTTCGGGGCTTCTGACGGGAGTGCATCAGCCACATACCCTCCTACAAAGGACTTTCCTTAGCCTTGAAACAGAATACTCAAAGGGTCTGAATGGAAATTTGGGCTTCAACCATGTCTCGTGCATCAGCCCTTCGCTCACCAGCTTCCCGCCCGCGAGGCTTGCGTGCTGGGTTTGCACGGCATCGCGCCGGCGGAGGTGGATCCAGCTCCCAGGCATGGAACTTTTCGGAGCGTGCAACATGGGATTCAATGTATATATGTATCAATTTACATAAGAGACCCCCATACATTAATATATATATATATATACACGTATCTATGCGGTTCCCTTGGGTTGTTTTGCGCTTTGGAAGTTTGGCCCTTTGAGAGGGTTGTTCAATGGCCACCTTTTTTGGATGTTTCTATCGAACAGGTTTTTTTGGGGGGACCGGTAAACCAAAGAAGCTTGCTCCCCTCCCAGAAATCCCATCATTGGCGGGAATCTCCTTTTGGCTCATTCTTGTTGGTGGGTGTTTGAATTTTCAGGGGAGTTTCGCACATTTTCGTTTCGGCCACCTTGAAATGGCCCCGAAGGGCTCCGATTTTTGACAGACTTCCTATTGGTAACATGCGGAAGGGCTTCGTCGCGCATCGCGAGGGTTGACTTTGTTCTCTCCTTGCCGCGAAAGGGGTGAAAGCACCGGCTCCGGTTTTTGTGCAGGTTTGTGCCCCACCGTGGATTGTGTATTCTCCAAAAATGGTCCATCCCTAGCGAGCTTCCCCCGCGTCACATGGAGGTTCTCCTGGGAGCCCGTTCTCTGAGGACAGCATCACGGACTTCTTGGCAGAGGTTCGGGAACGAGGCCAGGTGTCAACGATTTGAACACTTGACCTGCAACTTTCCCGAAGGGTCCCAAAACGGTACTTTGACCTTTGACCACGCTGAGCCTAGTTTTTTTTTTGATTCTTTTTCTTTTTTTCAGGTACGTCCTTATTACTTGGAAATACCTTGGACCCGGGTGTGACTGGTTTCCTTGGCTTATGGTCCGTGAACTCCTGCAATGGGGACTTTGCAGCGGGTGCTGCGATGGTTGAACGTTTGAACAAGCGGTTCTTCGACACATGGGTGTGGCTAAGAGCTAGGGTTACGCAGGTGTTGGTCTTTTTGTTTCCATTTACCTCCACTTACCTAGCGGCCATTTTGGGTACATTTGTTTGTGGCACAGCCACATGTTTCTTCTGGGCCAGTGCGCGATTGGAACCAGTTTTTCCTTGAGCGACTCTGGCGTGTGATTGGAAAGAGCGGGTGTCCGGGTAGAGTCCAGGACGATGCAACAGGGGCGGTCAACTTGCAGCTCCCAAAAACACACAACTCGCCAAAAGGAGCTTTTGTTCCTCTCATAGACAAGGATCCCCTTGCGCCCCAGAAAGGCTCTCAGAACCCTTGGATCAGAGTCTCCAAGAAGGATTTTTCAAACCTTTGTGCAGCGTTGAAGCTGGCGGATTTTTTTGGGGGAAGGTGCACACCAAAGGGAAGGCCTTCCCCTTGCATGGCTTGCTGCATCAACTGGGTATGGGTCAAACTACAACCACCAGGGGATCGCAGGTTTTAGTCTTTGGTTCCCTTTACCAGGGCAACCCATTTTGGGTAGGCATTTTTGACCCATAGCCAGGGTTCCCAGTGTCGCCCCTCCCACTTTGGCGCTTTTCGGGCTGGCTGAGGCAAGCTGCTGCTGGGCTTTCAGGGCGAATTCCAGGAGATCGACTTCCTGGAGGAGGCCGGCGAGGTCTTTCGGGGGTTCCGCGGCCCTTTGCGCCTGGCAGGGGCCCAAACTCATGGGCCGAGCCTGGAGTTCGCTCTCGCCTTTCTTTTTGCGCTGGGAATTTCACGCTCCGTCCGAGAGATAGTCCCCTGCAAGCAATTTGTGGATGCAACTCGTTTGGAGTGCAACATATTTTTTGAGCAGTCCTCCTGCTGCAACACGTAAGATCAAGGCTCCAGCGGCGGCCGCTGGAGAGCATTGATCGAGTGACTCGAATTTAGGGCCGTTTTTGTCTCCTCCATGCCGTTTCCCGCAGGCGGCTGCCCTGCGAAGGGGGTGCAGTGGAGTGTTGCGCTGGCCCAGCGGCAGGGCAGGTGGCCTGCCAAGCGTCGCTGGGAGCGTGCGAATGAAGGTACAGACATGGACGCCGACCTTGCGAGGCTTGAGCAGATCCTCCCCGCGCAACTGGCCATCGCGGAGAGCAGCATGCATGGCTATGGCCTCCGCGCGCAGCAGTCCTTTGAGCCTGGCAGGGACATTGCCGTCGAGCATGCCTTGATTTGGGCTGGCTTCGGCAAAGGGAAGGGCCAAGAGAGCTTCAACGCGCTGGATATGTTTCCGGTTGACACACCAGAGGTTGAGGCGCAGCAGAGTGCGGTGACTTTGATGTTGGCCATGCTCCAGAGATCATCCAGCCAAGTGGAGCTGATGCAGAGCTGGTCCCGTTTGTGCTGCAAGGGGCCCCAGACCTGGCGCAGTTTGCCCGCCACCAAACAGGCGCTGGAGCGGCGCCTGCGCCGCGCCCGGGAGATCCTGGAGAGTTCCTCTGTGGATCTTCAAATCACCGACGAGGAGCTCATTGCCCTGGACCTGCAGCGCATCGGCGTCGGGGTGGGCCCTGCAACCGTCGTGCCACTCTGCTTCGCGCTGCTGAACCATTCCTGCTGCCCCAATGCCAAGCTGGTCTATCGCGGCAGTAACGGCTTTTTGATTTGTACAAGGGCAATTGAGGCGGGCGAGGAGATCTTCATTTCTTATATCAATGAGGTGGATGAGGTGTTTGCCAGGCGATATCACCTTCTGGAGCTTCATGGCGTGAAATGTCTTTGCTCTCGCTGCGCCGCGAACTTTGCCACCAGCGATTGTAAGGTGATGAACAGCTGGGTTTGTCCGTGCTGCAAATCCCCGATCGAGGATCAGGCGGTGCAGTGCTCGGGCGGCACTGCGGTGACGTGTCGGGATCGCCAGGAGCGGCGGCGGCGGGAGCAGGCGGTCTGGGCGGCGCTGCTGCAGGCCACCTCCTACGCTGTGAAGCTGGCGAGCGGGCGCCGTGATGCGATGTGGGACAAGGCCCAGTTGCCCAGTGGATTCCGCCCTTTTTTCCTTTTCTTGGGGAAGGGTTCCCCTTTAAAGTCAACCAACAAAACAGGAGGCCCTTCTTTTCCCATGGCCACTGGGCATCTGAGTAGGTGGAGAAAGATCGGATGACCGCTGCCTTGCGCTGTGTGAGCCAGGCTCAGTGGGAATTCACTGCTCTGCGCCCGCCGGGCAGCCAGGCCCGCGTGAAGGCTTGGGCACAGCTTCGCTCTTCGATGCGAGCCGTCCGCCACAACAAAGAGGTGACGAAGTTTGTCCGCCAGATCGAGATGGACTTCGTCAAAGAGTTGGCGCAGCGGCACTGGGCTATCTCGGCAGAGAGCGTTGGCAAAGATCTGTCCATCGGCGACGCACGCTGGGCAAGACGCCTGGTGGCGGCCTTGCGCCTCTATGAGCTGACCTGCGACACCCTGCGCCTGGTGCGGGTGGGGCCCCGCTCCGACGGAGGCCACGTGATGATGGACAGTGGGCAACCCATCAAACATTTTCTGAGCTACGGAGTGGGCACCAACATTGACTTCGAGTGGGAGCTTGCGATGTTGGGCACAAGAGTGCACCTCTTCGACCACAAAGTGGACAGCCTTCCTCGCCAGCATCCCAATTTCAGCTTCCACCAGGAGGCGCTGTGTGCTGAGGAGCTGCCAGGCGTGGGCTCCACGCTGGCAGGGGGGGTGCAGCTCCTCGGCACTGGGCCTTCAGCTCTGAAATGCGACGTGGAGGGCGAAGAGTTCCGCGCCATCCTCGCCACAGACAGCGAGGTGCTGGGCCGCTTCGACCAGCTCTGCCTAGGGCTGCACTGGCTGGGCCGGCCTCGGTGCGGCGACGCCCAGATGAAGGCAATGGCCCTCGAGAAGTTGAATGAGCAATTCGTGATGTTGCATGCTCACGGCAACAGCTATGCCGATGTCGTAGATGTCGCTAGGTGTCAGATCCCGGACATGCTGGAGGTGCTTTATGTTCACCGGCGGCTACTCGGCACAAGGTTCCGGCCCAGCACGGCTGGGCTGATTCCCAGTGAGTTGGATAGCAACCACTGCCCCTTTGTGCCGGATATTCACCTGCCGGGTCCCCCTTTTGGGGCAGATGTCCCCGACTAAGAAACTGAAGAAGTCGTGCAAGATGAGCGGGGCGGGGGAAGGGGCTGGGAAGACATGGCCACGGAGCCAGAGCACCAGGCAGCTTCCATCCGGTATTCTCGCCGAACATCCTGAGCTTACAACAAAAACCACTGCATTTCATTGTAACATGTTTGCTTCCACTCCATCCCCGGGACTTGGTTGCAGCTTCAGTGGCTAACCAGGGCTGTCATGAATGCTGCAAGCGCAGACCTTCAGTCCTTTGGCTCAAGCAATAAATCATTGATCCTTTGTTGTCCTAGCTTGGGGTCCCAACATGTTTGCAGTGCTTGAAGTTGTCCAGGCTTTCAGCTGCAGTCTGCAAAGTGAGGCTCCGTTTGGTTGGGGCCAGAGGGAGTGCTGCAAGCATCCTGGTGGTTGACTTCCGGAATCAAAGCGAGCCGGGATCGGTGTTTAGGCAAGACATGGTACAATTCACCGCTGGAGCCGAATCAAAAGTTTGTTCATTTTTCTCACACCAGTGGCGCCATGTTCCACATTTTTCTGGGGCTTGGCGCTTTGACGCTTTGAAGCCACGCCAAAAACGCCGAGTTTGCGCTAGCCCTCTGCATGGTTGTTGTGGGAAACATTTTACTTTTGCTTATTGTGGTTTAGGGGAATTCCCCACTTAACCGTTAAGATTGAAGTTTTTTTGCTCCCCTTCCAACGTCAACCAAGTCTGACGTAGGAAGACGTGCTGCTGGTGGCAGAGGAGCTGCCTCTGCACCCCAATGCCATGATCTGCAAAGCGCTGGCCCAGGACTTCTCCTGCTGCCCGGCCTGGGGTGTCGGGGTGTCGGGGGGGGGGTGGGGGGGTCACAGGCCATCAGAAGCCGCCGTGCACGGTACCCTTCCTCCCACTTTGCCATAGCACCTGTGGGAGGACACCTAGAAGATCAATTTCCTGGACCCCCTTTGTGGCAGGGATGGCATCCTTTCTTCAGGTGGGACCCTGTCGTGGCTTCGGTTTTTCCCACTTCCCTGGCGTACGGGGCATCCCCTTTTTGTCAGGCTTTGCTGTGCGTGGTGCAGTTGCGGCGCCTTTGTGGATCAAGCCAATCCCGAGAGCCGAGTCCATTACACATTTCTTTGGCAGTGGTATGCCATTTTTGCCCGCTCCCTCGCTATCGATTTGTCTCAGTGTCAGAAGCTGAGGATGGGTAACTTTGGTTGCGAGATGCATTCTGACCGGAGGTAGTTTTCCTTCGTTTCCCACGCTTTCCGTTTCGGTGCCAGCTTTTCTTTTATTTGGAGCGATCTGCCTGCAGTGGGCCCAGGCGTGTTGGAGATCCGCTACTACTCCACTGGCGGAGGCTTTATACTCACGGAGGAGGAGATGCTGTCTGCAGGACTGGGTTCGATCTATGCCCTACCAAATGCCTAAGGCAGTCTGTACCTCTCCGGGTTTGTCGGGGAGCAAATTGTGTTCGTGGTCCCCTTTAATGGCGACCTTTCAACACGATGGTGGTTAAGACATGTTAAGCTGGCCGTTGGGGGCTGGATTGAGGGTTGGGGGCGGGACCTGTCGATGGGTTTCGCTGCGAGGACCAGCAAGCAGCAAGGCGCCGTTGCCCATCCCTTTCCGCAGCATGAGTGACCTCCTGGAGATCTGTGAGGCGGGTTTCCTCGTTTCCACGAGCATGTCAAGGATGAAGAAAGCGCCGCAATACCACACGAGCGCAACAAACAAAAGCAGAACCGCTGTGAAACCACCATATAACCACCATGTAACTACTAGTGCTGTGAAGATTGGGATTTGGAGTTTGCTTGAGGTCTCGCTCTTGGTTGTGTAGAAGAGGGGGAATTGGATGATTTGGAAGTGTGTTTAGACGGGCTGGGGTCGATGTCGCCGATGTCTCTCTTGGGTTTGCGCGGCCTTTTTTTAGAGCCTGTAAAAAGGGGAACACAAAGGACACCTTTTTGAGACCCTTGTTTTTTGAAAACACCCGCACTGGCCTGAAAAGCTGTCATGTTCTCACATGGCTGGATGAGGCTGTTTTGGGAGACCCTCAGCCTGAAATTGATGCGCCGTTGTTCAGACGCGGACATAGGATTTCGGATTGATAGGGATCCCCCCTTTCCAGGCCTCACAGTTCATAAGTACCAAATCCACGGAGAGCCGGGATGCTTTTGAGGGGATCCACGCTTCGCAGCTTCTCACCCCCCTTTGCCCGGAGGCTCGAAAGATGGACATCGCCTCGGTGGTGCGAACGAACGAAGAGGCGAGCCGGTTTCAGGACCAAGCCATGGTTTGGGGGTTGAACCCAACTGTTCCTTTTGAAGCCAAATGGATATGGGTCAAAATAAAACCACCGGAGGACCACAGGTTTTAGTCCTTGGTTCCATTTACGGGGGTTGGAGTTTGGGTACCGATTTTTGACCCACAGCCAAATGGGAAGGTACCCAACGTCCAAACCACCAAACAACCGATGACGGGCAAGCTGATACAGTAGGGGACAATCCACTTCACGCCAGTTCGGATGGACGAAGTGTGCGAAGTGGAGTTTGACCGTCCCACGGATTTTGTGCTAGTGATGGGTGCCATACTGAATCACTCATTGATTGCCCAAGAGAGAACAAGAATAGCATATTTGTTCAAGAACCCTTAGATAACACCCAAAGTGGTTGACCATCATGTTGTTGATTGTTTTGCCTATGTTGTTCATGAGGGCTCATTTGTTTGATGGACCCATTTCATTGACGCTTGTGCCTCGGTTGCTTCCTTGTTGGGTTCGCTGGTTTGTTTCTGAGTTTCGTCACGTCTGCATTTTTCCTTGGTGGTTTGAAAAGCTCCCTTCCCTTCCCTTCCGTTCCCTCCCCTCCCCTCCCCTCCCCTCCCCTTCCCTCCCCTCGGTCTCTCGCTTTTTCGGTGTCTTGCTCTCTCGCTCTCTCTCTCTCTCTCTCTCTTTCTGTCTCTCCCTTCCTCCCTCCCTCTCCCTCCCTTCCCTCCCTCCCCTCCCTCCCTCCCTCTCTCTCTCTCTCTCTCTCTCTCTCACATGCATATATACATACACATGTGTATATGCGCTAGACAATATACGTATAGATATTATAGATATATTCATATACACATACATATGCCCAGTGCTTCTAATATGCTGGTAGACGATGTCTTTAAGGAAAGCCGGTGTTTACTCATGAATTCTTCATTGTCGAGTTGGGGGTCACAATTTGTTTATCAGTTGGGGTTAGAGCTTTATGCAACATCAGAGGTTTGGTGCAAGGTACAAGTTGTCAAGTTGCACGCAGTTTGCGGACTTTCACGATTCTAAACTTGTGCCAAGCGAACCTCCGGAAAATGTGATAGAAGACAAACTCCCATGGAGGTTACCTGGGCACATGCACGTGACATGCGTGGCTCATGCGTATGCATGATGACCAGGCTTGCTGTGCAATAAAAATCATCGATGATAGGTCACGTTGCTGAGTCGGATGCATGCGCCGTGTGCCATGTGCCGACATGGTGGTGCTGTCCCACCCTATGTCGCGCCTATGTGCTTTGTTGCAGTTTATCTTGGTAACACGTCGCCCAAAATACGTATTTCCACGCTGGCACTGCCCTAAGGCTGCACCAAGTGGGTCGAGTTGCGCCAGCTTGCAGTTCTGTGGATGCGCCGCCGCAAAAGTTTTGCAAACGCACGCGCGCGCGTGCGCAAGCGCGCATGTGCCAAGTTTCCATCATGACCATGTCATGGCGAACAAGAAGGCTCCTTGGAAGCGGCAGGATCTTGATAAATAGTGGGCAAGAGAATCATGTTTGGGGTTTTGTGTTGAGCAGTATGGCCCTCTGCCTGGATGACTCCGAAGTCCATTCATGCATGGTTGACACAGGGGCGGATGTTGTTGCTGCGCCTCATGCGCGCGCGCGGCCCGAGCGGACATTCGCTTGGCAGCCCTGGGCACGGTGAAGGCAGCTGTGGAAGCGGCCGTTGCCGCAGTCGAGGCCTCCTTGGCCAACGCGGTCGAGGACAACAGTGTGGAGCAATGAGCCGCAGCGTCGATATTTGAACGTTTGAGCGTGTCGGGCACCTTTGAAGAGGCTTAAAAGCATTGATGTGGCTCATCCTTGGCATTATGCAGCCCCGCATCGACATCAGCGTCCGCAAAAGATATACACCGAGTTCTGCCGTTCTGTGTTTGCTCACATGCTTGAAATCAAGACCGCTTTGATCGAATCTATCAACCCCCTAGCAGGCTGACGCCTTCATGGTTTGATCGCCAGCTGTGATGCTGTCCGGGTGGGCTTCGACAACGCGCTGGATCCGCGCAAGCGCCAAAACGTCCTAGATGGACAAGGGGTCCCCGCCAATGGTGCTGCAAGGGCTTCGACTGCTCGCTTGGAATGTTTACCCGGATAGCTGCTCCTGCTTGAAATGTACGTGGCCCAACTCAGGTGGAGGGGGAGCTCCGATTGATCTTTGGCCGCTCGGCCTCATGCTTCACCATTGCGGCTGCAGGCGCCGTATCGACACACTTCTCCACTAATCAACGTGATGAGAATCGTCATTGAGTGGGTAAGGGGCTCCTTGCAGCGGGATAGCGCTTGGCGACAATCGAGTCGATTGCCCCACTGCTTGCTTGCAATGAACCCTGGCTTCGCAATCGGATTCTCGAAGGGAAGCTGACGGCATAAACAGACCCCATGCTTTTCCCATCATCGTGGTCCCCCCTCCTGCCTTCGTTGCAGAGTACAGGGAACTGAAGCAAGGCCCTATGATGGAACGCAGCCCTTATCTGATCGATGGCCCTTACCGATCGATCTCTGATCATATTGTCTTGCGTCTTGTCTTGGCCCCACCACTGGATAGGAGCGTAGCGAATAGTGCTTGCGCCGATGATGGTCTAGACAATCCTTTTAAACAAGATGGATGGGGTTGCAGGTGTTGACACAACAACGTCATTAGGGGCAGCCCGACCCATATTCTGGAAAGTCTGTTTGGGCCAAGTTCTTGTTTGGCCGAGATAGCCCAAGCTGGGCCATGCTTCATCAAGGATCACCTGCGCCTCACTTCGAGGAGCGCTGCCAGTCCGCAGGTTGCATCGGTGCGTGTGTGTGTGTGTGTGCGTGCCAAAGGTTCATGGTCTCAGTTTTTGACGTGCGGGTTGCATTTTCGTCTTGAATTGGCAACCAATGGTCCCCCACAAGCACTTGCGGCGCATGTATGCGCAGAACACTTGGCCGCCAGCCCCGTGAGCCAGCGTGCAACCCACGCTTCATCACACGTTTTGTGGCGAAGATGGGATGATGCTTTTGAAGCCCGTAGCCCGCAAACAATCGGAAAGGCCGACGTGAGACCGCGCAGTGGCAGTGCAAGGTGGATGAGAGTGAAATTTCCCTCGGGTATGCTTACTTGATAAAGACGCATGAGATAGCGTTTGTTCGTGTTTTTGGATGCGCTGGGTCAATATCTATACGCATGTCTTTTTCTTGTATACATGTGCACTGATTTGTAGCCCGCTATACCCCATTACCCTCGCGCCTCGTTCTTGGAGGCGCGCCGCAGTGCAGAGGAGGTGTCAGCAGGTCTCCAAGAGCTGTGGGCGGTGATGGAGTCGTGCTTAGAACGGGGGTCTCTTGGCAGGGTGTGGGTGGGTGTGGGTGGCTGTGAGTGGGTGTGGGGGTGCTAGGTGTAGGGTGTGGGTGGGTGTGGGTGTGTGGGTGTAGCTGTGGGTGGCTGTGGGATTTGGCTGAGCGGGCGGTGCGACGCATTGTTTTGCGCTCTTGGCTTGTTACGCCCAACCTCCAATCCTACGCGCAGGTCACGTGCGAAAAGGGCCCGCTGCCCAAACCTTATTGAGCCGGGGTGTTCGAAGCATGATTGAGCGCTGGTTGAAATAGGGGACAGAGCGGGGATATGGAGCACACTGCGTCTATCTTCCCACGGCCGGGGCACTCAGCCCCGGTAAGGTTGCTTGCTTGCTTGCTTGCTTGCTTGGTTGGTTGGTTGGTTGGTTGGTTGGTTGGTTGGTTGGTTGGCTGGTTGGCTTGTTGGTAGGTAGGTAGGTAGGTAGGTAGGTAGGTTGGTTGGTTGGTTGGTTGGCTGGTTGGCTTGTTGGTAGGTAGGCAGGTAGGTAGGTAGGTTGGTTGGTTGCCTGGCTGGCCGGCTGCATCTCATCCCCGTTTGCTTTGTGGGCGGTCGGGTTGGTTGGGGTTGGGCGGCCCAGCATCACCAGCCTCGCCATTTGCTTTGATTTGTGGCTGAGCCCAACTTGTTGGGATCTGAATGGGGGCGGGTCTTGGTTTTGTTTGGATAAGGCTCACGGATGTTGTTGGGTGGGTTCAAGGTTGACTGTGGGTCGGTTTGGGTTGGCTTGGGGTTTGGGATTGTGGGGCGTTGCGCCAAACCACCAAAATCAGCCGAAAACCCACGCAACCACATCCCTAATAAAACCTGCTAAATTAGCTGCCACCTAGCACAAATCAGTCCCAAACCAACCCAAACCGACCCACAGTCAACCTCCTGGATCAGCAAGCCCATACTTCATCGGAAGCCAGCCCCGAGCAGCTCTCAAACCAAGGTTCGCGAGATCTCTGATTCTGGGGATGCGGCCGACTGACCCTGACCGCCAGCCTGTCCAACCACGCTCTCAGAGAATACCACCACCTGCTGTGGCACACAGCTTGGGCAGAAGGGAAAGCACTGATGGAACAACGGGCCCCAACCCAACAACTTGCCAAAAACGACCCAGCCACATCTGTCAAACACTCACCAGCACGGCAACCAGCACCAAGCAAACTTTACAGAACCACCTAACCACCTAACCACCTTCCAACATTTGCTCCGCTTCTTGTGAGGCTAGACGAGGAGAAGGCGAACCAATTGCTGCCGGGGCCTTTGCAGATGCGGCGCCAGGCCCCACAGCTCTACGCAGCTGCGCTGGAGGCGGGCGCCAGTATGTGTCATTGGGAGGCGGGGGGCAAGGAAACCGGGATGTCTACTTCGAGATGGTCATGGACCCCTTCTTACGGAATTGAGGCAACCATGCAGATTCAGTTTGAACAATATTGAATTTTGACCAACATGTGGTGATCAGGGGGGCGGCCAAGGTGTCAAGCCTCCAGAGATACAGTGCAGCTGGGCATGCGGTGCTTCAGCCGTGCTCCACCCAATTGAGCAGCTCTAAAAACCCCCCGTTACATCCCAAGCAAGAGTTGTGTCACAAGGCGCCGCGTAAGCAAAACCCTGCAAGGCGTAAGCCGGCGTAAGCACTTTTTGGGGAAACAAGCTGCGTAAGCACCTGCGTAAGCTCTTCTTCGTGATTGCTTGGTAAGCTTTGTAAGCATGCTCGGAAGAGCTGTGCTTATGAGATTATTGGTAGCTTGTGCTGTTGCAACCTAGTCGAGCTTGGCAACTTGCCCGGAGACTTTGGCTGCAGGAAGTCGTCTAAGACCGCTTGTGCACATCAAAAAGAAAACAAAACCAGCAGAACCTTGATTGGGAGCTCTTGGGGCTCATGCTAGGTGCTGTTGCAACCTTGACTAGGACAAACAAAGGCTTCTGAAACCGCTGCTCTAGGAAAACTAAAGGGGCTCGGGCGCGTAAGCTCGCGTAAGCAGGCGCATAAGGTCCGCGTAAGCTCGCCTAGCTGGGCTGCCCGCTAGCCCTCGCGATGGATGCCGCTGCCGCGCAACCCGTTTCTTGACTTGCAGCAATAACAACAACGCCAAGCCGCTGAGACTCGTGAGGGTAGTTCTTCGTCATCAGCTCTGGCGTCTGCATGAGAAGAGGAGCTCGCGTAAGCAATTCTTGAGGGGAAACGCTCAGAACGCCCACGCGTAAGCCATGCGTAAGCTTAACATGCTCGCTGACTGTCGCGTAAGCTACAACATGGGTCGCGTAAGGAAAGCGCAAGCTCGCGCGTAAGCAACTTGATACGACATAGGGATTCATGGGAGGTTTATAGAGTCGCTCAATTGCGTTCGTATCTTGTCATGCGGTCTTCTGTTTTCTGGTTGCCAGTGATCCGAAGCCAAGCTTCTGACGACCTCCCCGTTCGGCTTTTCGATGTCCACAATTGGACGCGTGACTTGTGAAGAGCCTGCCACTCTACTGGTCTTTCGAGAGCCCCGTAGTACTTGGGTGTTGCCGGTTGAACAGGCATGAGGGTGAAGACATATGCGGCTGATACGATAGAGGGTCACTTGTTATTGTGGCTGCATTGACAGGAGCAGCACAAGCAGCTGGCAGAGAAGGATGACACGTACCACGGTCGCAGGAGCAAAGGCAGGACTTGAGCAACGGTCCATATTTATCGTCAGTTCCTGTAGCACAGGGCAGGACTTGCTTATCTTGCGCATTAATATCTACAGTCAATTGGAAGTGATTTGGTTCTCCTCGACATGACAATTTCCTGTTTCTGGTCATGCAATTACCAGTAGAACCTGGGGTTGCTCACCAAGATCCACTGGACACAATGAATGTCCATTGTTCATTTGCGCCACCTTCCCAAGCAGTGGGTTAACTCGCGGGAGTGTCAATGGGAGTAACAAGACATGGTTTGTTTTTTGGCTCGGCAGCAAATGTGGCTGTGGGTCAAAACCAATGGTACCATTTTGAGGTAGGTGCACCACCCATTTTAGTCTATTTTAGAGGGGATTGGGATGTTCACTGGGGGTACGGGCTTTTGACCTATGGCCATGTTTTCATACCCGGCAGCCAAGGCGACAGCCAGTGATGGAGGAGCTGAGGTGGCTCAATGCCTATGCGCTGGCAACCATGGACTGGGGGACTGAGGGAAACGAAGAGCGGATGCTCCCAAAGAATCAAGTTCAAAGGGGGCCTGGAAAACGTGGTACCCATGTGGGAAAGAGCCCCTGTTTGGGTTCCAGAGGAACGTGTAACATGACTGTAACCAACGCGTCACAGGAGAGATGGAGCACAGAGGCAGGCGGTAAATTGGCTTCAAAGGACCCTTCCCCCGCCATTCCAATCCTCCGTTTGCTCTATTTTTGTTTTGAGTTTTTCCTTGTTGGTTTTAAAGGGAATCGGTCACTACCGGATAACTATTTTTTCCAGGGGCTTAAGTAAATGGAAGTTCCTGTGAGAAAATCCCGTTGGGCTATTTGTTCCTCTGTTCTCGCCATTGAGTCACAGGCCATGAGTCTGCGTTGCGCTGCGCTTTCGTCGCATGATCTTTTTCAGCCGATCCTAGGAGTCTTTCGCACATCTCTTGGCGTCATTGAACTGTTCTGGCGAATCCACCTCGAAGTTCATGCATGGAGCCTTCATCAGGCACCACCACCCCCGATGTTCCCATGTCCGTTTGGGTGGCTGCAACGCAGAACCAGAGAACCAGCCGCGCAGGAGGAGAACGCCTGCATGGGGCGCCTGGTCACTGCGCCCACCAACGGCGCGGCTGGTGTGGTGCCGGCGGTGTTGGCGTACTACATGAGGCCTGGATTGCTCAGAGCGCAACGCGAAGGGTCTGAAGCCAAAGCCCTCAAACCAAACCTCCAAACCAGCACTCCAAACCAGCATCCCAGAGCTGTCAATTGGCACCCCAAGTGCAACTCATTTGGCAAGAACACTTGGGGCCAGTTCGACCCAATTCAGAAGATGCTGGAATGAACGAACTGGTGTTTCTTGAATTCTGGCTGGGCCTCTCGAGGCACCTTCGGCCAAAGCAGCCAGAGGCGGAGCGCAAGGATCCGGAAACCTACCTGCTGACGGCGGCCACGGTGGGCGTGCTGGCGAAGGCTGACAGACAATGAGCCAAGTTTGGGCCGTTCCCTGGAATTGGCCCTGGAACAAGGGTTTTCGGCGTGGCAAAGGGAATCTCCTGAGTGATCAATTGTGAGTGGCCAAGGGAATCTCGCCAAGCAAATGATCGCATAGTCATGGGGATGAATCAACCAGGAAATTAAGGGCAAGGGACCTCCCTAAAGTGTAAGCCCTCTTGGGGTCGAAAGGTACGCGTTCTCCAGCAAGACCCCTCAATGAGACTTAGATGTTTGCGGAACCGCATCTTGAGTTTATGGACACGAAGCCTCAATAAACCCAACAGCTGAAAGCTTTGGGGTCTCAGCCCAGATAGGCTCCGAGCTAAGGCGACATCCTAAGCAAAACCGGCGGCGTGCTATGATTGGTGGCTTGACGGCGCAATCGGACCGGGGCTCGGGGAGCAAAACAATCCGGCCCAACGGCGCAATCGGGCCCCGGTCGTCGGCTGTACCTTTGTGCAGGTAAAGCGGCATCCCAAGCAGAACCGGCGATGCGCTATAATTGGTGGCTTGGATCGGTGGTTTGCTTCCCTGGCTGCGGTCAGGCCCGAGCACAAAAAAGAGCACCGCATGCTGTTGGGGATCTCACCTGAGCTTATTTTAAATGTGGGGTCAACATTCTGAGTTTTGCTTCTTGGAATCCAGAGCGGCTAAAGGACAAATCCTGCACCAGCTGGGTGGTTTGTCCCAGAATCCATCCTCGTGTGTTTCTTTTTTTGCCAGGAGCATGCTTGCATCTCCGGGGCCCAGGGTGGATGCCAGGCAGGGCAGACGGGTGGGCCGAATGCGGAGGCTTGGTGTGTTTGTTCAGAGAGTATCATATGCACCTGGAGTCCTGGAGTCCTGGAGTCCTGGATGCAAAACCAAGATGTATTTTTATTCATGTGACATCCCCTCCCAGTCAACCCCCATCCCAGCCCCCCAGCCCCTCACCGAGGCAGAGGTTGGCACCGCCACGGCCATGGCGGCGGCTGGGCTGATGTCGGTGCTCGGGGGCAGCCCGCAGCAGGCGAGTCTCGGGCGTCAGTGCGTTCCTGGCAGTTTGTTCAAATCCGTCGAAACCATGGCGCTCGCAGAGGCGCTGGCGCACCTTGACATGCACATGTTCTACAGGCATAAACAGCCCGGATCGGAAACCACGGGTGTTGTGACAGCAGCGACCAAACGCAGCCCAAGCGCATCAGGATGTTTGTCGCGCGTTCTCCTAAAATTTACCACGAGTTTCGCCAAGCTTCCAACGGGGCTTTGAGTGTATGAGAATTGCCTTGTTGCTCGTCATGCTGTGCGTATACAGAAAAAACTTTGCCAGCGAAGGTGACGGAATCATCTCCAGCACGTTCGTGCCGATATTGCCACATTCGGACTTTCTGTCCAGTGTGACGGCTGATCCTCCTAGACCCGACCCGGTTGATGGGCAGGTGCTCGGTGTACGGCTTGAGATTGTCTCGTCCTTGTGTTCAAAGTCGGATTTCCAGATGCTAGCATTCCAGTTGATTCCAGTAATTTAACTTCAAACTTCCCCTGTGGATGGACGAAACCCTAAGGAACCCATGATGGTTTCAAAGTGGTGCGACTGGAAATCGCCCATCCATAGTATGTCACTTCCCCTTCCAATTAACATGGAACCTGGCGTTCGGGACCCGGTCCCTGTAAAAGGAACACAATCCAAACCCGGCCCACCCGATCCGAACGTCAGCCAGGTGTCCGCGGCTGCCACCTCAGCGCTGGAGCACAGCCTGGGGATGACCTGCGACCCCGTGCTGGGCCTCGTACAGGTCTGCGGTTTTGGGGGGGGTAAGGAAAACACACTCCCGGAGCTCCGTTTCGGACTTGATACCTTTGCTTGCTGCGGTCTAAGTTCTGAAAGCCGGAAGAATCCGCACGAGAGGCGCGTTTTTGGGAACTCCGTTGCAGACTTGATGCCTGTTACGGTAGTCCAGGCGCTGGGCCTGATATACTTTGTGGGAAGACTGTTTTAGTGGTACATGAAAAGTTCAGACTCTCCTCGGCGACTGCCTTCCTCCGAAGCCGTGGCACCCTGTGGTGAAAGAGCGGCCGGCTTGAGCCGACAGTTTTCTAATATCTCGAGCCTGAAGTGCAGAGTGCTGTTTATCCAGCATTGAGAACCGGAGGCCTTGTTTATTGCATGGGGCACGGAAGAAGGGGTGTGTTTGTTTGTTTATGCGTGCCGCAATGTGGAACTTAGGGCACGTGATCATGGTATTGGCCATGCCTCTAGTCTCTAGTAAACACAGAGCTAAACGTCCCATTTCCGACAACATTCGCATTCTGAACAACTTGCTGGCAACTTTTTTCGGGCCTATGAGAGACAGGAGTTGTCAGCTTGCGAGCATTTCACACGGGCCGGTAATTGATTTCAGTTGGGCATGTTTGCCGTGTTGAATCAAAGTGAGGTCCAGTAAACGACGTCCGGCAGAAGGATTGCCGTTGGCATTTTAAGACCTGGGTTTGGCATAGGGATGCCGTTGGGACGCCTCCCTCGCCTTGGAATTCTGCCGTTGGGAAGCCTCCCTCGCCTTCTTCCTTCTCCGGGGGGAATTCCGATGCCACCGATCGCTTCGATCAGCTTGGGCCGTCGAGAGGCGCCGTGCATCGAGCGCAACTCCATGGGCGCCATCAAGGCTGGCGGACTGGGATGTGAGACGAAGAAACGTCATGGGGTACCAAGGGTCATGACACCCCTTTGGTTTAGAAGGGCCAACGGATCAAAACCAAAGTGCTTCGGGGTCCAAAAGTTATATGAAACCCTGTAGAACGTGGGTCACCGGCTTCCTGAGCAGTTGGTCAGGTCTGAGTCGATGAAAGCGGGATGGGTTGGACAATGTGGGAACAGTCCAGTTTGAGATGAGGCCAATTGGTTCTACAGGTGCCCTCCTTTTTTGTCGGTTTAAACGGAATTCGAAACCGCGAAACCTCCGAGCCACCTTTGTCGAAGCCCGAAACACCAGCACTCGCAAAGCCGCCCGCGAAGCGCGAAGCGCGAACGGCGCGTCGCAGGCGGTGAACGCGGTGGCGCTGGTGCGGTCCGGGGCCGGCCAAAGTTTGCTGGACCTAGACGGCGTGCTACGGGTTATGAAGGACCTGAACAAGGGAGGGGTTACTTTGTTTGCCGATTTTCTTCGATTCTGGGGGTTCTGTGTGTTTTTGGTTGTTGTTTGCTTTCAGTTTTGCTTCTTCGTTTTTAAACACATACTTGGGAAGGGGTCTTGGGTGCCGTGCTTTTGGTTGCATGGGGGAAAAAGGGAAACAAGCTCATTTGGAGGGTTCACCATTTTGAGAGATCCCCGGAAGGATCGCAGATTGCAGCTCTTTGGACGTGTAAAGGGTGTTCTCCTGAGGTGCAATGTTTGGGCTGGACATCAAACTTGACAGACTTGGATGTTGAAATCAAGCTTGATGAATGCCAGTCACGATCCCCCAGATTTGTTTCCTGCTTCAGGAGCGAGATGGAAGACTGTTTCAACAGGCCCAACTACTTGCCCTTGGGTAGATTTCGGTAGCAAATATGATGTACCTCTCATGAACCCAGATGTGCCCAGCATGCTGTAGGAGCCTGTGCGGTATATTGCAGTTTCACTGATTTCCTCAGGGGGAGGTGTTTGGGCCCTTGATCGAAAATGTTGGCGGACAAGTGAGGACGGCTTTCTGTGGCAAGGCAATCCCCTTCAGACTGATAATCAATTGCAGGCTGTTTTGAAGGGGACACAAATCCTTTGAGCTGTGTTGAATGGACACCACCCTTTTCGGGGCTGTTTTGAATGGAACCCATCCCTTGTTTAAAACTTGTTTTCAAGGGGCATCAACCTTTGTGCGGGATTTTAAAGGGGAACCGCATATTCTAAAGCAAAATCAAAGCGAAGCTATCCTTGCCGGGGCTGTGTTCAGGGAATCACTCAAAAAAGGTCATA